TGGTGTACAACGTTTTCTAAACATTTTCTCGCTGAGTGTTGCAGCCAGCCAACACTTCGCCAATTTTCCTCTTCGCCGATAGGAAAGCAATTCACGTGAATAAAACATCCCGAGAAATTGAATAAACAATAGAAGAATAAATTGCAAATTGTTCCAACAATTTTTCTCTATCGCTTCGGTAAAAGCTTCGATATAAATTAAGCAATCGATCAATCGATTTTTGTGGAACATAGCGCTACCTACGAGCATGTATGTATAATGAATACATGCAGAGCTGTCCCTAGAGATTACAAGGCGGGTGTTCTTCATCAGTTTGAAATCCTACAAATCTGGAACGTCAATATTTCTTACAAATTCCCGAACTACAAAATTTCTAAATTTCAAAGTTTCAGGGTTTTAAAATTCAGCACAATGTACTCATAGTATTTTTGAAAGTATTTAAGCGCGGAGTCCAGGCAGGTGTCCCGTTTGCCCAGTGTTAAAAGCAGCCCTCCACACATCACAATATGCTTCACGTGTTTCACACATGAACACATATTAAGAAAAATCATGCTAACTTAGTTCTGACTACGTTCACGTTATCAGTGAATAATACCACCAAAATACAATATAGATTTTATAATTTTTATGTATTAATTGTTCTTTGTATTGTTCAATAATTATATGCCATATATTATTTTATTTACATACCAAAATTCATTTTTACATTTGTCATTATATATAGTTAACTTGAGTCATAGTTGATCACTTTGATCTGTCAATTGTCGAATAATCTCTATTATTCTCCCACGTAAGGTATGAGAGAGATCAGTTTTCTTTGTCAAATTATTTGTCAAAGGAAAATTGTTAATGATTATATAAACAAATTCTTCACTTTACAATCGCAAATTTTAATGGTCCTATTAAATGCGCATGTGACTAATACTGGATATTAATTACAATTTGTTGCCAGGGAAATATAAACAGCACATAGTAACTTGTACATATTGTAGATATACATATTTGCATTCCGTTTTTATAAATATAAAAATTACATTTTCATACTTTAATTGAAACGGGAAAAGGAGATTCAGAATGACTACTACTTTGCAAACTAAAATATTTTATGGCTTAAAAACTGATGTAATTTCAAATGTACATTACATTACTGATGCAGAAATTTTATATCCCGTTGGAAATGTAATAGCGGTTCATAATATTCCGCAATATCGACAAAGATTGATACATTTATCTGATAAGCAACACATAAATATAATTTCTGTTACACCTAATAAGTAAGTTCCAATATTATATAATAAAAAAGGACAAAATTAAATAAAATGTCCTTTTCTTTTTATAAAGGAGGTATGTAGCACTTTGCGAAACCGGAGAAAAACCTACCATAGCTATCTATGATATTCACACGCTTAAAAGAAAAAAGCTTCTTGGAATACCATTCGATGCTCCTGGTGTAACAAAATTCACTTGTATAGGATTTAGCTTTGATAATAAATATCTAGCAGCAATTACAGGAGAACCTGATCAAACAATGCTTTATTATAATTGGGAAAAGGGAAAAGTGGAATCCAGTATAGCAGTAGGCAATCCTCAAAATTTATCTGCCATTGTAGACATAATAGCTTGTAACCCATCAGATAATGGAGTAGTCGCACTTGGAGGTTTATACATTTTTAAACTTCTGACTCTTTCTGATACTATATGGCGTCCCTATGGATTTTCAAAAGCAGACAGCATACTTATATGTTCAATGGCATGGTTGAATCCAGATAGATTATTGATTGGTACAAAGGATGGTAGAATTCTTTATTTAGAGCATGGTGATTTAAAAAATATGTACAAGATGTCAGATACAGTGTCTATGAATCTTAAAATTCGAGAAGAATATGTTATACAGGCTACTAGTTCGCTACTGAATATTAGCAAAAATATTCCATGGGAACAGAATATCCGTTGTTTAATTGCATTTTCGAGAGGATTTGCATTCACATTTGGCTTTAAAACAATTGTATTATTTGAGAAAGATGGTCAACATAAATATGTAAAGAGAAATGTTTTTATAGTTCCATCCCAAGTATTCAAAGAAGACGACCGAGATTTATATAAAATCAATTCTATAAATATTAATCTAAGTTTTGATCGCTTGATAGTTACAACAGGCTGGCCCCAAATATTTTATGCAAGGCTATGGGGACCAGACCTGAACATAGATCCAGAGCCACAAGAATTATACATTATGGGTCAATCGTTACATCATGGACCCATAAGTAATCTGGCGGTATGTGCTTGGAAATCAGTATTTATGACTTGCGGGGAACTTGATCACAGCGTAAGATTATGGGACTTTGAAGCAGGAAGTTTAATCTTACTTAAACAATATACAGAAGACATTTGTGGAATTGCATTACATCCTACAGGTCTTTTCTGTTTAATTGGCTTCAATGATAAATTACGTTTCATGAGCATACTAATAGATGATTTACTACCTATGGAAGAATTTCCTATTAGATGTTGCAAGACTGTAGAGTTTAGTTACGGGGGTCATTTGTTCGCTGCTGTTAATGGGAATATTATACAAGTTTATTCGACTATTGATTATGTTAACTGTTTCATTTTAAAAGGACATATTAATCGAGTAAAGACTTTATTGTGGTCGCGATCAGATACCAAGTTACTAACATTAGGTGCAGAAGGTGTGATATATCAATGGGATATGAGTACTGGTCAACGTTCTGCAGAAATAATTTTAAGAGGTTTTAATTTATATGACATTGCTTTCTCTTCCGACGAATTGACTTCGTATTGCATTGCAAATGATAGTTCAATACGCGAGATGAAGGAGAGTGCGGTAATATTTCATTTAATTTACTTCTACTACCTGTAATCTTACAAAGATATAAGAAACAATATAAAATGTTATTTCTAATAGGTAGTTAGACAGTATAATCTTCCCGATGTAAACATGTATTGCATGGTACTAGGAAAAGAGGATCAAGTTCTATTTCTTGTCTGTCCTAATGGTATTATTTTATCAATTAAATGTCCACTTCAGGAGCCAATACATTATACGAGTTTCGATATTCATTCTGCTGAGATTACCAAGGTCAGAAGATACATAAAGTGCTATTGTATAATTTAAATATGCCGTGTTTTGTTACTTGTCTTTTATTTTGTACAGATTGCTCTTTCTTATAATGAACAATACTTAATATCTACTGCTACAGATGGTAGTTTATGTATTTGGAAATTGTTTTATTCTGAAGGAAAAGGGGCCATGGGTAAAGAGCTGACGTATACAAATGAAGTGTTAATTAGCAAAGGCGACTTGGAAGAAAAAATACAAACGATTAACGGCTTGAATGTTAGAATGAGAGAGCTAGAAACTGAACATGCATATAAAATGCGTCAAATAGAAGTCCTACACAATGATAAAGTACGTGACATACATCAAGGATACTGTGAAGCTATTGAAGAATTGAGGGACAAGATAAGTCGACTACAGGAGGACCATAAGACAGAGCTTAATACGATAAACGTGGAGATAGTTAAAATGAAGGAGCAACACGAGGAAACGATGAAACAAATAGAAATGAATTACGACGCTAAACTCATTACAGAGTACGACAAGTATTTAGCACTTGAAAACAAAATGAATCTAATGCGTCAAGATTATGAAAAACGTTTGGATGAATTGGAAAAACATTGGAATGACGAGTTAGAAAAAACGACGAATAAATATGAGGCTCTGCTTCATGAAAAAAAACTACAACTAGAGCAAATTCAAGATGAAATGGATCATCAGGCGAAAGTACACGAACAAATGACAACACAAATAGAAGACGATGCAGATCAAGAGATACTGGAATTGAGAACAAATTACGAATCCAAGTTACACGAGGAGAAAGAGCTAAACATAAAACTGAAAGGAGAAGCTGGGATGATACGTAACCGATATGCGGCTAGCCAAAAAGAAGTTGAAGAATTGAAAAGACAAATGCACCGAGTTCAGAGTCAGTATAAATATTTTCAGAAGACTATTCAAGAATTAGAGAAAGATAAAGAGGACTTAAAAAAGGAGATAACCGAGAGAGATATCACAGTTCAGGATAGAGAAAATCAGATATACGAGTTGAAACGTTCGAATCAGGAGTTGGAGAAATTTAAGTTCGTTTTAAATTATAAAATCACAGAATTAAAGAATCAAATAGAACCGAGAGAGCAAGAAATCAAAGACCTTAAAGAAAAGATTCGAGACATGGAAACGGAACTTGTAAACCTGCATAAGACCAATGTTAGTTTAGAATTACAGTTGCACGAGTTGAGAGAGAAATTGGGAGCCGCAAGACGCGAACTTCAATACGAAGCACACCGAAATAAAAGGTGTCAACAGCTTCTGAAAAAGATACGAGTAGATTTACTTGATGTTTCAGGGCTTGTGCAAGAGCCACAAGCGTTAAAAGTTGCCGTAACAAAATTGTATCATAAATATAGTTCGAGCGATGAATTTTTGCGTAGTCGTAAGGCGGATTTGGACGCACAATGCGAATTTATAAAGCAGAGGGATCATTTAGAGAGAACAATAGCTTCCCTTAAGAAACAAGTTTTTCAGGACACATCAAGCGGTGGTAAGGATATAGATAAAACTATGGAGGAAAATATTACACTGATCGCAGAACTAAATGCTCTGAGGGAAGAACTGAAAGAATCAAGGAAACATATATTACACATGGAAGGTCTATTAGGTTTAACAGCAAAAAATATAAAACCATCTGAAGCAAAAAGAAGATTAGATACTGCATGTTATGAGCATGAAAAGTTACAGAATGAATATAGATCTCAAATGGAAGAGTGTCAAAGTATAATAATTGCATTAAAAGATGACATGTATAAGTTGATCAGTAAATTACCCTGTGAAGAACCAGAAGCTAATGTAAATTTTTAAATACTTAATAGGGAAGTACAATTCTATCGTAAACTGTTTATTTAAAGAATAAAAATGTCAATAACAAAATGGAACAAAAAATATTTTAATATTTACCAGTATTATGCCCTTGAAGTAAAAATAAAATTTACATGGTATTTAAAGAACAAATGGAATAATTGCTTTTCGATTTTTGGGATAATTGGAGAACTCTTTCCTGTATGCTTTATGCTTTCCTAATGCCCAAATAGTCATTTGATATGCGCCGGCAAAAGTAAACAGAGCAGCTGAAAACAGAAAAATTATATATTTTAATAAGCTATTTAGTTTTTGTTTCTAATAAAGAAAAAGTATAATTGTACCTGGAAGACACGAAGTCATGATAGTGAAACCGATCCAGCTACCAATTTCATAAGTATAATTGGGGCATGAGACAAAATTGAACAACAGAGTGAAGGGGTTTTTGGTGGGTACAGGTATCTTCCTTATGGTAGTTCCTGGTGGTCTCAAGTTCCTTAGAGCTAAATGAATACTCAGATTACCCAATTCACAAAGCGCAAACATTACTACACCAGTCATAAACTGGCATCTGCATGGAGATGTAAATAGAGGATGATTTACATGATATGCCACATACATAGCAAACATCCAATAGTATGTACAATTTTTAAAGAGATTGCGTAGTGGCATTGTTGCATGGCTAAAGCGATGCACGAATAATGTCTCTAAAAGACGTTTTGCATAATGGATTGACCAACATATAGCTGCCACACTGAAAGTATATTTATGCTGTAGCTGTCTTACTGAAAATTTTAATTGTTCAAATAACGTGCTTACAATTTGAACTTACTGAACTGTGGTATCAATTTTAGATGTACCAACATCACCATAAAAAATCCATGGACGACCATACATCCACAGATAGAGAACTAACGGACCAGCGTATTCCACTAAGAATACAGTTTTCCAACTAATCTGAGGTCCAAGATCTTTTAAATAAAGTTTACTACCATCGGAAACAGATAAACTTTTCAAGGTATCTGAATCAGATAAAGCCTTTCCTTTAATATCCAACTTTAAGCATTGTCTCTGTACTGGTGGTGCTTTCTTTAATTTGTATAATTCTTCTTTAACTTCTCGTATTGTTGTAGTTTGTTTTACCTGTGATTATAATGCATGGACAACTAATTAGAAATTTAAATTAAAATTCATTAAATATTCTGTATGAAATAGCACATCTTCGTGGACTATTATTTTAGTTATACATTGCATAATTACTATCTTAATTTGTTAATGAATATATACATATTAAACATGCGGATTTTGTGTTTATTACTTACGGACACATTGGTCACAAATTTTGATGACTTAGCGGTCAAGATTTGGATCTAGAAAATACGAAAAGTACATCGAATGGTTCATGATTTATTACGTGAAATCGTATATTACTGATTTCTATATATATTTTTTGTATAAATACCTCCATTGTTGTTAGCAGATCGGTTTATTTTTCGGATATTTGAAAGCAAAAATTCTTTTCCAACGTAATGGTTCAAGCGCACTATACACTGCTGTGCTAGTGATCACGGCAAAAGGTATAACACGGCGCTACTATCGTTTAAGCGCTCAAAGTTCAAGTTCATTTCACTGACCAATGATAGTAATTTTAAAGTGCCATGTACAGAAATAGTATTAATTAAATCACTATTTGATATGCAAAGAAATGAGCTTACATATCCGAACTTTGAACGTGTCAATTAATGTAAAAAAAAAAAGTAACATTTTTATTAGCAATGTTTCTATGATAATAACAATATAATTGAAAAACTGGCATCTTACTCGTTTATAAATATTTATGAATGTGACGCAAGTAAGTTACAAACTGATGATTCGACAAATTTTAAGGTAAGGCGTTAGAAGTTAAAAAATATTGTTTGTAAATATTTATGAATGTGACGCAAGTAAATTAGAAACTAATGATTTAACAAATTTTAAGGAAGGCGTTAGTAGTTAAAAAGTTAGTTATATTCTTATTTCATTCAATACTGTGTATACAACTACGTATAAAAATGAATCTAATCATTAATTATAAAAACATAAGTACTTGTTTTAATTACATCAATACATTGTAATACTAGTATTCTTGATATACCGCAGTTCACCAGAGTCCATGACTGCGACGCGCAGGTTGGAAGATGGTGGGGGAACGCAGCGAGCTCTCTGCTAATCGCTTTCCACTTCGTTTGGAAGTATCGCCAATCAGGGCGAAGATGCGCACTGGAGAAGCGCGAAGAACGAAAACTGGTCTTTTCGCAGTTATGGACTCTGGTGAACTGCGGTATACATCGATACCTTTTAAAAAACAATTGAAAATAGCAGATTTTACAGCATCAGAACCGCCTACAAATCTGTCTAAAGTATTCAGGCTGTTATAATTGCGTCGGTAAAGTAGGGAATGACACCCAAATGATAAAAAATTTTTTCTCAAGTCGCCAAAAATCCTTCTTAGAATCATTATTTTTATTAAAAAGAAACCTATTCTCAAAATTTTAGCCAATTTGGAGCATTGAGGTTTTCGGAAGTACAGCCAAAATGTTTATTATAGATTATGAATTCCTACATTATCAACAATTTAGTCGATAAGAATAGCTCTACTGATAAAGCATTCATCAAAAATTGCACGAAGATTTGGATAGATGTCACTACGGTACAATGAGAGGTTTTTTTTTTAAAAGAGCGGGATCGGTTTCTTTAGTTCATCATTTACAGCCACATGACAGCAGCGGTACATATAAAGTTAAAATAAGCTTTGCACAATATTTTCCATTTATTAAATCAATCATTTCACTATAATGTAGTGCTTTTTCTTATCAGTCATATGCTGTATAAATATTGAATAATTTAAAACTTACAATGAACAAGTTCAAAGAAACGCCTAATTTTTAAATTACACCTGTGGCTTTTCTGTATTGCCCAAAGTGTTCCAAATATTGTTGTATCGTGTCCAAAGGTTGATAAATATCATTCATTCGATTCTGAAAAAGAATTAATGAATTGCAATAGACTTCACCATGTAATGATGTTAATTATTACTTGTAAATATTGTGGCGCTTGATTGGACACGGTAGATCCAAGGAACCCCTGCAAAAATTCACGCATCAATTCCCATGCGCTTCCCGGAACAACACAAGGTCTATATTCCACCTATAAAAAGAAAATATTTAAAAAAAAGAGCAAGAGCACTATAGCACAAACTTTTTAATTTCATCAATTTTAAACATTTTTCCATCGAACTAAAAATTATATTTTTCTTTTGAAAGGGAAACTCATAGTAGAGACATTGATCGGATGCTATTGTTCTTTACGCAGTCAGTTTCTCTTTCCCCGTCGATCAAGATTGTCTCAACAGGTTGTCAAAGGTTTGCCTATCGTTCCAATCGAAAGAAAACCTAGAGGTTACCTGACTTATCTTTAGGAAACGAAAAAAAAGAACAAAATCAACCCCATCGAAAGTGGCTGTAGCCTCCCTTGAACCTAATCTTGATCCGGCACCGTAGAAGGCTATTAATTATGAATTTCAACGGGCAGAAAATTATCTGTATCTCTGTACCGAGTGGTCCACAACATTCTTCTTCCCTGCTAGGCGAAGAAGATCGTAAGTTGTTGGGTCGTTGTAGTATTTCTTCCGGTGAAATTAATGGGGGAATAAGGAGCTTTATCGTAACGTATTCGATGTCGTGCGAGGGTATAAACAGCGCTGTTATCGATACGAATGGCCACTACGAAGGATCGCTTCGAAAGACCAACACATTGGTCACGGACGAACTGTTTCCGGTTTGTAGAACGGAAGTTACACCATTGTCACGGTGAAAGCTGGCTGACCGAAAAACATTTTCTGCTCAACCCTTTCGTTGAAAGCGGTCCGTTGAGACTTTAGGTACACATTGGACCAGGTATAAATAGTTAATTGGACCGATTTTACAAAATAGAACAGAAGATTAATTTTAAATAATAAAAAAGAATTAATTAATGATAAATAGAGACATTAACGCGATTCTCTAGAGTCTGTAATTATAGAAGAGCAGGGCTGCTGTCAATGGATAATTCGCGGCGATATTTCGTCAATTTCCAAGTTTAATCGCGAGTTAATTAGCTACTCGCCCCGTCCGACAGAATCCTTCGGGAGCCAGGCTGGTAACGAGTTTCGCGAAAATCAACGGGCCAGACATCTGCCACGATTATTAATTCAACCGATTATCCGGTCGAGGAAAAGTTCCTCCGGAGGTACGAAAAGTTTCGTCGAGTTTCTTAAATGGAAAAGATGCAGCTATCTCACCGGATTCTTGCATTATTTTTTACCCCAATTAGTTCCTCCGGCTGGAGGGATCGCTCGGGGCGATCAATTTTCTCTTACCCTTCTTTTTTATCACTTACCTCAACGAGGACACCTTTGAAATTCTGATTGATGGTCACGCTGCCGAGTTTCACGCAGAAATCACCGATTTCGAACCGTGGCCCTTTTGATTCGACTTTTTGCATCTTGTTCGTGTAGATGCTGGATATTTTGTACATTAACAGATCGAATAGTCCGTCCGCTATCAATGGCACCACCTTGTTCCCGGATTCCAGGATGGCGAACACGGATGCTGGCTGCTCGGAGTTGTGGAGAACGTGGAGGGTCCTTTGAACACCTTGAAAAAAAAAAAAAAAAAAATATCAGTAAAAAGAGGTGTCGCGACGCGCCTGATGTGTCATTAAGCAAGATGCGACAACGCACCCGGTGTGTCATTAAACTAAGAAGTTCCGACGCACCTGATGAGTCATCGGCTTTTATCGATGGAAGGGTTAATTTGTCGAGAAGGAAATTAATCTGCGACGGAAGCAAATTCCGAGATAAATACAAACCCGAAAAATACTTGGATCCGACGAGATACGATAAAAAAACAAAGGGCATAGCAGGATAAGATGGTCAAAAGTGCCTTTGAGCCGATTTTATTCAGCAACGCACCATTTTATAGCTTATAATAAAAAAACATTGTACACCAAATTTCAACCCTGTATCTCAACCGGGAGGGTAGTTACAGGGTGAGAAAGAAAAAGTGGTTTTTGCCATATTTTCCCTATTTAATGGCATTCAAAAAATCTGAAAAAATTCTAGAATATTCTAGCCATGTTTCTTTATGATTGTGTATTATTTCAGATTTTTCGGTTGCAAATTCTAGGCGTGAAAAATCAAAAACGCAAATACATACTTGGATCCGACGAGATACGATGAAAAACAAAGGGCATAGCAGGATAAGATGGTCAAAAGTGCTCTTGAGCCGATTTTATTCAGCAACGCACCATTTTATAGCTTATAATAAAAAAACATTGTACACCAAGTTTCAACCCTGTATCTCAACCGGGAGGGTAGTTACAGGGTGAGAAAGAAAAAGTGGTTTTTGCCATATTTTCCCTATTTAATGGCATTCAAAAAATCTGAAAAAATTCTAGAATATTCTAGCCATGTTTCTTTATGATTTTGAATTTTTTCAGATTTTTCGGTTGCAAATCCCAGGCGTGAAAAATCAAAAAAGGCAAAAACATACTTGGATCCGACGAGATACGATGAAAAACAAAGGGCATAGCAGGATAAGATGGTCAAAAGTGCCCTTGAGCCGATTTTATTCAGCAACGCACCATTTTATAGCTTATAATAAAAAAACATTGTACACCAAATTTCAACCCTGTATCTCAACCGGGAGGGTAGTTACAGGGTGAGAAAGAAAAAGTGGTTTTTGCCATATTTTCCCTATTTAATGGCATTCAAAAAATCTGAAAAAATTCTAGAATATTCTAGCCATGTTTCTTTATGATTTTGAATTTTTTCAGATTTTTCGGTTGCAAATCCCAGGCGTGAAAAATCAAAAAAGGCAAAAACATACTTGGATCTGACGAGATACGATGAAAAACAAAGCTACGGTCTGCATTTTCGTTTTTACGCGTGGCGCGTGATATCCCTTTGAATTAAAACGAAGAACTAGCCTGGCCAATTAACGAAGAAAAACGTGAAAACTTCCCGTCGACGAGTCCACGAGTAAATTGATTCGATCGTTCTTGCATACGAATTTTGTCGGAGGCAAGCGAGCGTGCCCGTTCTCGACCATTTCAACTATGACAGGATTACAGTCGATTAATTAAAACGGACGAGATGATGGCACGGTTCATGTACGGAATAATAAAATCGGACAGAATCAAATTACTACATTTCAAATGACGTACAAATATGACGGGTAATGAACGAAATTATCGCTCTGCCTTTGCCTCATTATCGCATATCAAAATGACGTATCATCCTTTGCCAAAAATATACATTACCAGTGTTACAGGATATTATTTCAAAAGAAAACTCTGACAATATTAATATTTAAAATGATTTAGAAAAAAAAAAAAAGATGATTTGCATTGAAATTTTTAATCCATCACTATGGCGTTCCCTTTTTGAAACACCGATTAATGTTTATGACGCCAAGCTCATCGATGACGGCGATAAATAAATGCCTAAGTGGTGTACAATTAAAGCGCGTAAAATTGTCCACGGTTAGCATGATCCGTAATTAAGAGTTTCGTCATTTGACGCTGCGGAGAGGGTGCGTTATAATTAACCCGATAAATAATTCATAGTGGCGAGGTTGCGCGCGCCGATAGCCTGCTATTATGCGAACGAACCAGTTCGGTGGTTATTGCATGAATTATGAATATTCAGTGGAGTTCGCACATCGTACGTTTCGTACTGTCCACTATTAACCCTTTAGTTACAAACGTCGATCTACGATTAGTCATTCTGGTGATTTCTGTTCATTAGAATTGAACAATAAAAATTGATTTTATATTTAATAAATAAAAAGAAGGAGCAAGACATATGTATAAATAAAATAAGTAAAATATAGAATAGGTAGACAAAATAAACCCACAATAACCCAACCATTGTTACAAGGAAGGAAATTACAAGAAAACCCCGTCAGACTAACGGCCAGAGGAATTTAAGAATCGATGATGTATATACAGGGTGTCTCAAAATGGCCTGACATTTTAAATTTCGCACCATTTTTGTTGTGGCGAACATAGAGTACTAATCTTTGACAATTGGTATCAGGAAGTATTGAGGTTTAGTCATGCAGAATTACACGACTGAGCAACGCATAGAAATTGTGAAAATTCACTACAAAAATAGTGAAAATCGCGTTAATTGGCCACCACGGTCGTGCGATTTGACGCCACTTGACTTCTTTCTTTGGGGCTTTTTGAAAGGAAAAGTGTATGCCAATAATCCACAGACCATTCCAGAGCTCAAGGAAGCAATTGGACGTACCATTAATGAAATTAGTCCGCAATTATGCCAAAATGTTATTGAAAATTTCGACAAAAGAGTGAACGTTTGCAAACAGGGACGAGACGGCCATTTATCGGATATTGTGTTCCATACATAACCTCCATGTTTGTACTTTATATTGAAATAAAAACATTCGTACTTTTCAAACAAATAATGTGTTTTATTAATAAATCAAAATGTCAGGTCATTTTGAGACACCCTTTATAAAGCAATAAAAGTCATTGCACCATGCCGGAAAAGCAACCGCCGCGTATACCTCCCTGAACAACTTCTCCATTAACATTTACTAAACTTACCAATCAAAATTGTAATTGAAAAGAGATAAATTAAGTTACGTAAATTTGCATGAAATACAATAAATTCATTGACCTGTTGACCATCAGAGCTAAATTAAAAGACGTTGACTATAATAAGTAAAACACGTTACCCTGTACGGGTGTGGAGGGCCAGAATGAAATTAAATAAAACGTACAATCTTTTTAAGTGATTCTGCTCAGGAATGCGTTTAACAAAGAAAAAAACGCAACTATCGATAAAACGCATCCCGAACGAGTGGCGTGTCATACTGTGACCTATTTTCGCTTGTAATTCGGCGAAAACAATGCAGGCTACGCGCTTCTGATTAACGAACGGGCTGATTAGAAGGCGGTCCCAGCCACCCCCTTATCGCAACACTTTCTAGGGTAATTCGGGAACACCGATCGTGTACGACCCTGTGACGCATTCGCATGCCGCATTCTGCATCCCCTGCGTCGCCATATGAATTACAAGATAGAATATCGGTGAAAAAAAATCTGCGAATACAAACGATTTTCGAAGTTTCTCTAGACACCAACGACGGTTGGTTAGTGTCTTTTTTGCTAATAAGTAGTATAGAGATATCGAGTTTATAAACTTTTATCAGGCGCATCGTCGATCGGCCTGGTAGCAGCTGGTACTTTTAATAAAGCGATCGCAAATCTTGTCGGTCGATGGAGCGAGGAGGAAGAGAAAACTGACCCTTCTCTCTTTTCGTCCTCCGTGTCTTATTCCTTTCGATTATAACAGGGTAAAAGATATTCCATCGAATAGTTGCCAAACTATTGACCTTGATAATAATGTTAGGGCTTTATGGTGAAAGCTGAAACGATGTCGAAATTGAGCGAACCGGTGATCGATAAAGAGTCTTTTAATTGCACGTCTAACGAAGCGATCATGTTTACACTGATTGTTTTTTATAATAAAAATAAAAGTTTAGGATTTGACCGGAAAGAAATGCACGTTCATTCGTTTCGATTGAAGAAATTCGTTTCATCGAAAATCATTCTGCCTGGTGGACAATAAAGTGGAGGCAGTCTGTCGATGTTCACCCTTTTTATTGTACCCCTCCATCCTGACACAAACAGACACCGCCGTGATCCCATTGTATTTCGCGTCCCTTCCTCTGCACGGGGTCGAAACGAAAAATCTAGTCATGGGGTACACGAGACTTCATTGTCGAGTAATTTATCCTGTATTCAAGCACCGTCCGATACGTTGAATCCTTTTCTAGGCGTGTCCGCTCCCTAGTTCTGGGCTAGCTTTTTATTACGGTCTTTAATTCGCTATGGCATAGTACTTGTGGCCTCGTCATTACACTTCGTTGGACGTATTATCCTTTTAAATAGAAGAGGAAGTAGGTCTCTAGGTCTCTAGATTTCTAGCTTTCTAAATTACAATCCTAGATCCCTAGATTCCTAACTTAGAATCTTAGGTCCTTAGATTCTTAGATTCCTAACTTAAAATCCTAGGTCCCTAAATTTCTTAATTTCTTACTTAAGATTCCAGATGCCTAGATTTCTGAATTCCTAACAATAGAATTTCAAGTTCTTGGGTCCTTAGATTTTTAACTTAGAATCTGATTCCCTGCTTAACTTTAATTAAGAGATCCTAAATTTCTGAATTTCTTACTTAAGATTCCAGATGCCTAGATTTCTTTATTCCTAACAATAGAATTTCAAGTTCTTGGGTCCTTAGATTTTTAACTTAGAATCTAATTCCGTGTTTAACTTTAATTAAGAGATCCTATATTTCTGAATTTCTTACTTAAGATCCCAGATGCCTAGATTTCTTTATTTCTAAGAATAGAATCTCAAGTTCTAAGGTCCTTAGATTTTTAATTTAGAATCTAATTCCCCGTTTAACTTTAATTAAGAGATCCTAAATTTCTGAATTTCTTACTTAAGATCCCAGATGCCTAGATTTCTGTATTCCTAACAATAGAATCTCAAGTTCTTGGGTCCTTAGATTTTTAACTTAGAATCTAATTCCCTGCTTAACTTTAATTAAGAGATCCTAAAT